TCGCATTTCCCCCCCTCCCAACCACAAACAGATCTCAGTAACATGTCAAAAGTAGTGGAAAATAAACCCTACAACCCCAATGAGAAAACCACGCCAGCATGCACACAACACACACACGTTCACTCTATCATCTGTGCACTCAGCTAATCAGACAAACATAATAATGACCAACGCTGAGCGCTAAGAAAAGAAGAAAAAAAGACAACTTACATTTAAAATAACCAAACCAAACAAACAATATACAAAAACAACTGCAGCCAAGTGGGAAGTGCGATATCATTCTTTCTGTCTTTCTCCGTCATCAATCTTTCCGTCGCTGTCGTTCTGTGTCAGTGGGTGGGGCCATCAGTCAGAGTTTTCTGACTGGTCGCTATGAGGCGAGGTGCCAGATGGGGGCGAGTTTCGACCCTGCCAGCTTCCGTTAGCCTAAGAAATCAAAAGAGAGAAAAAAAATAATGTTCAGGGTTATTCTGTCAATGCTGAGTGGCATTAGCTGGATATAATGTTGGGTACAAGATTGGCCGCATATGAATTTACAAAGGCTGACAAATTTAAAAAGTAAAGAAGAGACAGGAGAAACACCCCTCAACCATATTTTAAGTGTTGTTGGATAGTTTGTCCACCAGAGGGTGCTACTCCCCTTATGGCAACACTTATTTTAAATGCCACAAATACAACAAGTTGATCCTAGCAGATTCAGGCAGAACTTAAACAAGTAATACATAACTTGCAGTAACAATAATTTATTTATTTACTTTTTGCATTGGCTCAGCTGCAAGGAAAACAGCATTTTGAGCTTTGGCTACACAGAAAGACATGCTGTTAGATGAAAACTTTGTTGGTTTGATTATCATTGGATCTGCTGATAATACGAATTTGCACAACTAGTCATCTGAATTCTAGTCGGAGCGAGACATTCACTCACTCTCTCGTGGACAACACAGTTCTGCATTGCTTTGATGTCAGCGTAAACTAACATATAAACACACATCCAAAGCGCTCTGCCTGTGCAGCCACATCCTGCACAGGCAGAACCTGTGGACCTGATGCTGCTAGCACTTCTAACAGCAGCCTCAGTCAGCAAATTAACATGACACTGTCTTTGATGTTCTACAAAACACTAAGTGTTAAAACATGATTTGATTATCCAAAGATGTTTCATTTGTTACTGTTTTCTGAGTGTTTTTTCTTTCTTTTAGACCGGGCAACTAAACTGATATTACTTCTCTACTAAGTTCCTAATTAGAAAGAAAAAAAATACAAGTTAATATTTAAACGTATGTAAATACCTGCACTCCCATTTGGTAGGCAGACTGTTCACCGTTCACAGGTGGAACCCCGAGGAACAGGTCAGCTGATCCGGACAGAGAGAAGGACCCCGACCCTGAAGAACGACAAACCTTGATAGTCATTTGTGACAGACATCTTTTTATAATTCACCATAAAGAAATCCAAGGCGTTTTTACTGTTACCTGACATTTAATAAACAAGTCGTTAATCATCAGGCATATCGGCATGACTCATGTAGGCGTGGAGAATCGGGGGCCAGAGAAGGGCTTAACAACTGAGTTTATCGCCTAAAGGCAAGTAGGCATTTACTGTTCATGTCATTTTCTTAGTTACCTGTGGAATTGGGAGTGTGTGGGGAATCATCGCCCTGTCTAGCTCCCAAGGCTGTTTTCATGGCGTAGAGATTGGCTTC